ATTCCGTTTTATATGAATTCCATGTTGTACGAGTCACTTATATTTTACAAATACGTGTACCGGGCTGTGAACGGCTCACGTATTTGTAAAATCTAAGTGACTCGTACAACATGGAATTCATATAAAACGGAAAAATCAACAGTGTTATAGGGGGGTCGACTGGTACAGTCTATTCATATTCTAATTATTAATTAATGAACTAAACGTGTTAGTAAGATAGGTATTGCCATCTGTTGATAATTTTTATAATTTATTGTTGGGGCATGTTTTTTGCCATTTGACAAAAAGAAAAAGAAAAAAACTATTGGTAGTTTAATCCATACATACGTGTATTTAACAAACAACCCCAGTTTATTTAAAGGCTTTAGCATTGCATAACATTTTTGTAAATATACCACACTCCCACTCCTTGAACTCATCGTAAAGATTATCTGTAACTGGTGTCTTGTTTTGTGGGTTTTAGCGAAACCAAAGAGTCTGGGTATAACTGGTGTGATGTCGTTTTTATCAGTTTGAGTGGGGAGAGCAGGTTTACCAGCTTGTACGTGGTTATCTTGATTACTCTTTTGTGTGTGGAGGTCAGTATACTTCTGTCCACTATTGTACACATAGTTTCTTTGTTGACCTCATTGTTGTATGTCTTTCTGTTCATCATGACCGTAGATTTAGATATATCCGCTCTGGTTAGAACTATATCGTTTTCCGTTAGCCATTTCTTCGAGTTGATGATATATGTCTCACAAAAAAGCTCACACAAGGCTGCTTTCCGTGTGTGAGCCTCTTTTTCCGGATCCTTAAGTGGAGCGACTATTCTTTCCATTTCAGGTATAACCTTTTCAAGAGAGAGAGGAATGTGTGGTGCATAAGATGGACCTTTCTTTGTGGCCTCCAGTAGACATTTCGGGGGAACCAGTGCATCCCAACGTATTAGCTGGTTAGTTAAGGAGGTGCTACGCTTCTTGAGTTTACATAGCCATTTGATCTTTCTCACATACTTTTTCTTAAATTTGTATTCAATTCTGGTTAAAGAAGTATCTTTTGTTAGAAGCACTATGAAATTCAATCAAAGTGGTGATAGCGCATCGATAATTCTTATGCAATACATTTTAGCAAAAATAATTTTTAAAATTATTTAATCCATTAAAACATTTTTTATCGAACGCGAAGAAACAATACGCATTATGACTGAATTGAGCTACAATTCTATTAAAAAAAAATATTTACATAAATTTACTATTTTTACAACGAATTAATAATTAATTTCAAAAATTATAGTCTAATTTAATTTATTATATTAAAATATACAATCATTTATTTTTCACAAATTAATTAAATTATGAGAATAGCAAGATCTATCGGTAAGTGCGCCTCTTGCGGTGGTAATCCGAACTTTAACAATAACAAACAAAGGTAAGTGTGAGAAGCGGAAGGGTTGTTTACGTTTTAAAAGGTAGGATCATTTAAATGGTTCGTTTGTAGGAAATTGCAACAAGCCGAGCTATTAATAAACGGATAAACGCTCGAAGTATAAACTTTTATCGTGTAAGCTTTATATATGGGTACGGTTATAAACCAAAGCCTGGGGGTGGAAGAGAAAAAAAAAAAGTTTTGTCCCGGATGGGAACCGAATTCACGTCCTTGAGTAACATGTCCAATGCTTTAAGCTAACGACAATACTTTGGGTGTTATTTAATTTATTCTAAGTTTTATACTTTAAAATTTAATCAAAGCAAAATGTTTATTATTTGTTTACAATATTCACAGTATTATTTTTAAATATATGAAGTTTTCTAATCGTTTTGCATGCTTCCAAGTCTTTTTTTTTTCTTTATTTCTTTCTTTTTTGCAGGAATGCACCGCTTAGTGCGGTTAAATGCAGTCCGGAAAATTACTGCACTAATCGAATCCGCGCTAATCGGGGAATATGCTTAATCGGAAAAATGATAATTTTTTTTTTTTTAAAATTAAAACTGACTTCGTAACATATTATAAAACCATAAATATTTGCAAGTGATTAAAATAAAAAGATGCTACTAAATCTAAATTTTATTCTGGTATTTGAAACTAAATTTTTAATTTTTTTTTTTTTTAAAGAAAAAATTATCTAATAATTGGATTTGCTTTTCCTTCTATTCTGCATGATGTTTTCTGAAGTGTGCTAGTAATGCATTTCTGTATGTGTCTATTTTGTAGCAAACAAAAATTATAGTATTTTCGGCATGTTTCTAGTGCTTTGATTGATTTAAAAATTGGCGTAATTATGAAATTTTGTTTGGCTACAATATTCTAAAAGTATTTTTGCAATAACTTATACTGTTAAGGCTTGATGGTGGTGGTTCCTGACTTTTTTGTGTATCGATATTTTAAGAAAAATTCTTCTTCCACGATCTCCTTCAATATTATGTTTATATTATACAGTATCATATATAAAGTGTATGCAATAACTCTCTCCTATATAATTTTTAAAAGACATCATCATAAATTTATTTGAGAATGGAAAATCATTTAAAATTTAAAATAAATTTTTTATATGAAAAGTTCTATCTACCTGTAAGGAGTCAACACCAATCCTGTTGGGATGTTCTGCTCTATAGTCACGTGTCTTTTATTTTTATCATTGCTAACAGTGTAGATTCACAAATATGAAATCTCAGACCACAAAAACATTAAAAATGAAAACATATTACAAATATTGTTTATTTATGAGTTATTAAAAACAGTTATTGAGAAGCTTGTTGCATTACTAAGTAGATTTTTCCATAAAAGATAAAATCAATTAGCTTAGTGTGTCTGCCTAGTCCTTTTTGATAATTTTGTGATGTTAGCTGTGTTAGAAAGGCTTTGCTTGCAAAGATACTAGTGCCTGATATTGGTTGAATTAGTTTACAAAGACTTGTGAAATGCAACAGCTGTTTCAATTTTACATTGAATTGTTGATTTTTAATTATATGTTAGAACTAGATCTGCCTTGCTTGCAAAGTTTTTTTTTTTTTAAACAGGTAGGAACTGAATATTGATGCAATGAGCTCAGCTATTTTGTAATAGTTGATACGCCTATCAACAATAGTTAGACATAGTTATTTTACAATGGTTTGTTAATTTATAATAAATATTATAGTTAGTTTATGTTATTTATTTATTTTAGTCTTAGTTGATGTCTTAGTGATTTTTAATTAAATAAGTATTTTTTTTAGATAGTGAAGCTTATCCTAATTCAACAAAATTACTCCTTTTGAGCTTTTGTTTATTTTAATTCTGTATATAATTGAAATTATTAGATTTACTAATAATTCTCCTTAACCTCCTGTTTGAGTGCCAGGAAAGTCAAGCAAGAGCCCATATCATTTTTTTTTTTTTTTAATGTTTTTGTGGCCGGGATTTAATATTTATGAATCTCACAAAAATGTCAAAAGTAGAAATTATTTGCCTGAAAAGACAAGGCTCTTGAGCCTTAAATGATGCATTCTGTATTTGATTTATTATTCAAAGCTATGACAGGAGGAGTTCTTTTTATAAAGATGAATGAAAAAAGTAATATTGTGCAGCACAGTATCTTTTTGCTTTAAAGTTGGTACCTATGTGGAAGTACAAATTTTTCTGTGCTTTACTAAAAGCATATGCAACTTCTTATTGAAATAAATTTATATAAAATAAAAATAAAAAATACTGTTTATCTACCCTTTTTCGTATAGTTATATTTATGCAAAGTTTTTTTAATGTTTATTTTAAAGTATAATTATATTACATTTTCTTATTCATACTGCATTAGGCTGGCAGTTACTGCATATCAGTTGAATCTTCTGGTATATAAACTCTCATAGCAAAAGCACTGGAGCACTGTTCTGTTGAAAGAACATGGTTCAGCATTGTCATAATGGAATGTCCTTCAAGTAGTGCATCAGGTAGCCTTCTAATAGTTAAAAGCGAAACTTCTATAATGTGCAACTTATGAACCACCCTATATATTAAATTTATCTATTGGATTGGATAACTATCCAGATTCTCTGAATTGAAGATTAGTGATATAAATTTATCATTCATATATGTTTTGACATTAAGAATTATTAACAGTTATTCTCTTTTATTCTTTTTTAATATGATATATGCAATAAAATAGATTTTTTGAAATGAATATTATTTAGTGTTAATATATTTAAAAATTGGATTTAACATGAAAAGATTACTTTTTTCATAAATTAGTTACAAATTTTAAGATACATAAGACTCACAAATTATGTATTCGTGTATTTTAAGATTTATTCGAATGAAATATGTAAGTATAATACATAAAAAAATAAAAAAGACCTATTAATTGTATTTGTTACTGCCAATATCTGAAGTAGATAAATCTGTTGCAAATTATTTGCAGTAAAGTCATCAGCCTTGCTAATTTCATATCACAGAGTTGTGATAGTAGAAGTTAGTTGTTACAAACTGATTTGATTATATTTAATGTTAATAATCATCAAGTTCTGGTTTGTGGTTCAACAGCATCCAGTAATTCAATGTCATTACCAACAGAAACACTAACACGACCCCATTCTACTTTACATTGACACTTTTATGAGGATTGGACTATGCAATGAGGCATAACCACTTATTTTGTTTCTTTATTCTCTCTGCTCTATGGACACTTGATGTGTATGATTAAATAGACCTAAGGCTTTGGCCAAGCCAATAATGAGAGTATGTGAATGATGAAAGATGAGGCTCAACTGACTTGGGTCAGACAGCTTATGAAAGTTTTCTGAAACTTTTGATCCAGAGTTCCAGGCTGATGCCTTTACCATATTAATTCTTTTGCTGTTGAGGGCTAGTTATTGTTATTGCGGAGAGTTTTTGTATATTCGAAATAACAATTTACTGTTGCTTGCATTAATATAAATCTATATTTCAAAATTAAAACTATTGTTATAATATATATAAAAAGATTTAATTTATAAATAAATAAATTATATATTTTAAAAGTTAGTTTCTTTTTTTTTGTAGAATGAATTAAAGCAGAAATAGAACATTTCCAGAAGAAGAGAATTAGATAATAAATATGATAGTAAATTTCTGCCAATTATATGCAAATTCAAGTCACATTTTAATCAGACCATTCAGTTCATGCACTGGAAATTATTTATTTTCTTATTCACTTATAAGAGATAAATGTATCAAGACAATATTTTATAATATATCAAAATGTATATCATCAGTTGCATTTAAAAATATTAATCATTATAATAAATTAAATTTAAATAAAAGTTTGGTGCACATAAAGAAAAGAAACTGTAATTCACATTCAAAATCAGAAAATCTATTTTATGAATGTAAAAACATCACTAAATTAGAAAATGGTGTTAGACTTAACCATTGCTCAATGAATTATAATTTATTGAATAAAATAAATTTCTATCGACAAGTAAACAATAAAATAAACTGCAATTTAAAAAATATTTTACGATCATATGTAAAATATTTTTATTATTTAAAAAATAAAAATCTTAGTACAATGTCAAATGATATTTTGAAATTAAACCTTATTTTGAAGTCAAAAATAAAGAAGAAAGTTAACAAAAAGAAACGAAAGTTGTCTCTCTTATTAGCTGGAGGATGTTTATCTTGCAAGAGATCTAAGAGAGATGAAGAAAAATTGACTGAAGAAGCAGAAGAACTTGATATTAATCAGACTAATAAGGATTATGGAATTGAAAAAAATACTTGTTCAACATTTGAAATTGATGAAAAATTGAGAAATGATAAAGTTAAGAATATAATTCTTAAAGATGATACTGAAGCAACAACATCTAGTGTATCTGAAAGTATTGCTAATGAATCACTTAAACAAATTTCATCAAAGAAAATTGAAGAAAAAAATATGCTCGTAACAGAATTACCTTTTGGAAATGATTTATGTACAGGATCGAATGATGATGTAAATGATTTTGGCTCAGATCTTCTTGGTGGTAAGTTTTAACAAAAATTATTAGCATTAAAACATAATTAATTATTAATTATATGATTTATTTTGTTATTTTAATCCTTAAACTTTTTGATAACTTTGAAATTTTAATTATAATATAATTTGCTCTAAATTTGATGTAAAATATTTTCAGAGTTGCAAATAGATCTCTTATCTCTCTAGAAATATAAATTTTATAATTTTTAATTATTTTGACAGTATATTAAAGTAAAATGATGATGATTTTTGCACTTTTGAAAAATACAATTTTCTGCTTTAATTGCATAAGTTTGAATTTGGAAAACATTTATTTCCTATTAAGCAGATATACAATAAATATTGCTTCAATGAAATGTAATCAGAGATGTTAACTACTTTCTGTAATTTCTACTGAAGCCATGTGTAAATTATGGACTTGCAGATAATTTTCTAAAAACTACAGAATGCTCTTTTATACAGTTCGAATAAGCATGTTAATGCAATAAGCAGTAAAAGGACATATAATTGTTAACACTTTGTTTGAGATTTGGTATACACAGTGCCGGCCCGAGGCAAGTTTTAGGATGGAGCGAGATCCTATTATGGAGCCCCCCTTGGTTGCCCTTAATTTATACCCTTTAATTTTCTTTACCACTGTGGCACCCCCTAGGACTTAGCGCCTGGAGCGGCTGCTCCGTTCTCCCTATGGTAGGGCCGGCTCTGGGTATACAGTACTAGCAATTCTATGCAGACATCAGTGCATTCATAGCAATGATATGTAATGTACAGACAGTATTCCTGTCCACTGTACTGTACATTTTCAGATGCAGTGAAAGTATCATAGGTGTTTTTAGATTGAAATTGGCTAACTGAAGATATGTCTAAAAATTGTTCCTTTACTTGACTCAGTCATATGCTAACATCTAAAACTGATATTTGCTCTTCTGATGTTATAATCAGGAGTGCTAGAAAATCACACCACCTTGCTCTTTAACCATGACATACTATATGACCTTGTAATATTGATAGCTCTTTTCTCATGTTGGCATCTCTATCATAAAACTGAAAAGTATATAAAAACAATTTTTTGTACTTTTTTTTATGATATTTCATTGACACAATATTTATTAATTAACTTTAAAGCTGAAAAGTTTTTAAAATGCTTTACAACTGTTATTCCCATATTATAGAAAAAAAAAATATTTGCCTTAACTGAGAAGTTTCATACTGCATACTGATCTATTTATACTGATCTACTGTATACTGATTTCAATCTTTAAAATATTGATAAATTCTATAAATTTTTATTTTGAATAAAGCAAATACATATTATCCAATTGTTAATGTGTTTGTTTAATATACTTTTGCATTTTGTTTGTGAATTGCTATGTGATGATGTATTATTCTGTTGCTGTGGAGATCTATTTCCAATCTTATAAAGACTTCAATAATTTATCACAAGTAATTTAGATCTTGACATCACATTCTATCACCATGTAAGTTAGTTTATGATTTTGCTTGTTTCAAATGGGAAAAAATTGAATCTAATTAAATTAGCTTCTACAGCAGTGGTTCTTAACCTTTTCAGAATGACAGAACACTTACAATTTTACAAGATTTTTGCAATACACAGTAATAAAATAAAACAGTATATATATTTTTTATATTGCATAAAATATTAAAAATCACATACATAACAGTTTGTTATTTGCTATTGACTGATATGTAATCAGTAAATGAAATTAAAAAAAAAAGAAAATTATCAATTTTTTTAATGAGATATTTGGGCCTGATGATTTACAAATTTTTCAATATCTAGTCTTATGTGTGAAATAGCTACTCTCATTTCCTCTTCTATATTTGTCAGCCTTTTACATTTCTTTGTCTTAATATTTGTTAATGTTGAAAAACCAAGCTCGCATATAAAATTTTAATTGTTTTTTTTCAGAAATAGTTTTAAACTTGGCTTGAACAGAGATTCAAAATTCTTCAACTGTTATTTTGGAAAATTTTGTTTTGTGAGTATGATGCGTTGACAACATAATGAATTAATTCTTCCTCTTGTAATGAAAACTCAACTCAAAGTGTTGACTGCAGAAAATGGGTTCAATCATAATTTTCTATATCCAATGCGGGAAAGTATTTTGTAATTTTTTCTTCTAATAATGCCAAAATTTGTGTTATAATAGGAATTATTTCATTGATATTGTTATTTTGGACCAAAGGAAACATATCTAGTGTCCTTTTTTGAATTATGCACATTCTCCAAAGTAATATTTTTTTTTTAATGCTGAGAGTTTGTCAGTGGATGTTAAAATATTTTTTAAAAAAAATTGGCATTTAAAAGAATATAAAGAAAACCGCACCATTGATATAATACGTATGTATTACTTATATAAAATATTTTTGTTTTTATCTTGCATACTAGTATTTGCATTATTTAAATAATTGAAGATATCAGCTAAATACGCTATTTCAATACACCAAATATCATCTATAAGAAAACTTTTAAAAACAACGTTCCTTCATTTTAAAAAACGTTGACAATTTATCCTTAAGTTCAAAATCTGGTTCAGCAAGTTACCTCGTGATAACCATTAGCATGTAAAAATGAAGATTCGTGTTGAGCTTCTATAGATGCACAAAGTTTTTTAAATAGGCGTGTTTGCAAGGGCGGCAATTTGATTTTGTTTACCAGATTTTCAATTTTGTCTAATACAAATTTTAATGTTGTAGGTAATGTTTTTGAGACAAGCGATTCTCGGTGTAAAAAACAGTGTGTAGGTATAATATTTAGATCTTCCTTCTTCACAAAAGTAATAAATCCTTTAATAGAACCAACCATTAAAGGAGTACAATATGTACAGATTCCTACACATTGGTCCCATGTTGTGCTAAATTTATGTAAATATGAAGAAATGGAATTAAAAATATCCTGTCCTGTTGTGCATTTGGTAATTTGTCTGCAGGATAAAAATTAATTTCACTATTTTGTTTTCATTGATGAAGTGAACAAATCCTAATACGTATTCATAATTTCAGAAAATAGGTCGAAAATACATTAATTTAAAAAAAAAATGTTTATAATATCTATTGGAATAAATTAGTAAATTAAGTGGTTTGACTTTGTATATTAGAAAATACATTTTTCAGTGAGTTATACTGCTGATATCAATGGACTCATCAATTTGTAAAGCAAAGTATTGTTCTGAAAGCTTATTAGTAACTGTTTTCTCAATATCATTTGACATGTATAATTCTGTTGTTGTGTTATTGTTTTTCCAAATGAGGAAGTTTCATAAATTGCATCATCACCAAACATAATTTGAACTATTTCCGAACATGCTGGTAAAATCACATGCTCTGCTATGAAGTGTGGTTTTAAATTTTTAGCAATTATTTTGGCAACTTTATACGATGCAATTTGTGCTTTATTAGATACTGTTACTATTTTATAAAATTTTTTTCCTTGATTAATTTGATTATTCAACAATCTTTGAAAATAATTCTTGTCTTTGGACTGGAGATTGATGTGTTTAGATGCAAAATGCCATTTTAATTTTGCTGGTACTATTGCACTATTACAAAACTTTTTTCCACAAATCAGGCGAAGGGGAATTTTACATTCATTTTCATCAATATAGGTAACCCAGAATTTAAATAATCATTGGAATATTGTCTATTGACATTTTTTATTTTGTTCTCCCTGTTATAAGTATCATTATTGATATTGCTTGTACTAGCACTAGCATTTGCATTATCAGCACTAGAATCATATTTTCATTTTAGAAATTTGTCCATTTTGCCATTTCAAAAAATTATTTTTAATTCTTTGGAGAGTAATTGGAGCTATTTTAATTTCTAGCAAGCCAATTTGTTGCAAATTAACTTCTGCTTACAATTACAAAACAATACATTTTATGATACTGACAATCTGTCTAAAGTGTTGGATTGACTTGAAAAAAAACAAAAATAACAGTAATCTTTTTAGCAAGAAACAAGTTTGTACACTTCAGTTGTTGTTATTCAACTACAGTCGATCCCCCCCTATAATGCGGTAGATATGTTTCACTTTATAAGAATTTCATGTTGTAGGAATCCTTAAATACATGAACCAATTACAGCCCGGCACGTGTGCAGTTTACGGACTACGGCTGTTTGAAAGGTTTTCTTCCATAAAATTAATCGATTCTAGACTAATTTCACTCAACATTTCCAAAACATATAATTTTTTGGGAATAATCCATATAAACTATGCTATAAACAAAAAATTGTAGGATTACATACCGAGCGTGCACCGTTCGACAACGCCATTGCTTAAGCTTGTTTTCATCACAGAGCAGTGCACCAAACAGCGGCCGTGTTTTCTGATANGATTCTAGACTAATTTCACTCAACATTTCCAAAACATATAATTTTTTGGGAATAATCCATATAAACTATGCTATAAACAAAAAATTGTAGGATTACATACCGAGCGTGCACCGTTCGACAACGCCATTGCTTAAGCTTGTTTTCATCACAGAGCAGTGCACCAAACAGCGGCCGTGTTTTCTGATAACTTATTTTTCTGCGAAAAATTCGTTGAACTTTGGAGACATCATTAATAGAAATAATTTTTATGACTGTTGAATAAGAAATGTTTTTTCACAAGAAATGTATAAAATTACAGTACTATATTAGACTTACAGTACCTAATTTATATACTGTACAGACAATAGTAAACTCAACTTACCCGCCTAAACTCTCTGTAGCGTGTAAGTAGTTCAGCTGCTCATTCACTGTTGGTCCAGATTCGACCAATCCTGTCGTGACATGAGTCAGCGATGACATTTTACCGCATTTTACGAGTCTCTGTTAGCGTCTTTATACGAATACGGTCACAATTTTTTCACCACGATATACGAATCCGCATTATATGAACCCACGTTATAGGGGTCGACTGTATTTGCACACAGGCTCACTATATGTGAAAACAGATTTGATTCAAGTTCTAATAGTAATTCATTATAGAAATCAATAAAAGTCAACATAAGTACAATTAAAGATGACAAAACTAAAAACAATGACTTCTATTTTTTGTTTTTGATTTTTTGTCATCTTAATAACTGTTTTAATTTTTCACTGATTTTCAAATTTTGGCAGAACACTAAGTTCATAGAGCACCAATTTTCCATGGAACACCAGTTAAGAACCATTGTCCCACAGCATTGAAGTCAACAAATCAACTAAACTTTTGCATTTTAAAGTAAAGTTTTTATGTACTTATTTCTTTACCTCAACTTTTTTATTAATACATAGTACCGTTTATAAAGAAAATATTTAAAAAATTCTATACTGTTTCTTCAGTAATAATTGCCTACATAAATACTTTTTTGTAATAATTGCCCATATAACTTGTTTTGTAAGCTAAACTGCATTGGTTGACTTAAACGCCACTACATTAGTGGTGTTTATATTTACTGAATAATGGCAGGTGATGCAATATTTTCCAATAGTGAAGTTGAGAAAATGAATAATGGCTAATATTGTTATTGACATTTCATGATACTGATAGCAGGAATTATTGAATTTACAAAATTAATTAAGGTAATCCAAGTACTTCATTTAAATTACTTTTTATATATTTGTTATAACTATTTTGTATGAGTTGTTATATTAGTTTTACATCTCTTTTGGAATCATGCTTCTTTCTTACATCAATATTTTTTTATTCCAATAATCATCCTCTAAAAATTAAAAAATCCAGTGGGAAATTATTATGGTATAAATAGTAATTGTAGAACAAGCTTGTATAATGGATTGTATGGGATTTTCATGTTTTTGTTATCTTGTGATGGTATTGAGTGACTTTGTATTGAATTGGTCTGCAATTCCTCATGTAACTTTTGACAACATGCATTGGTAAAAGGTGGTGTGTGATCGATACAGATGGAAAGTAACAGATCAACCTGTTAACAATCAAAAAGGTTTAAGTGGCATAGAAAGATAAATTTATTAGCCTGTTGTTATACATGGCAGTTACTAGATTATTGTTTTACAGAAAGAGAGATTTATAATTAGACAGTTATCTTCAAAGTATCTGATGTAATTGCTTATAGTCTGCCAATTGAGGATGACCAGCTGGTTTTTGTCTCCCAGGCACTTCCTCATCTCTGGTTTTACCACAAATCTCTAGTACTACTATGATGATCATAGACTATCACTTGTAGACTGAATTCTTTCATTTAAACTGTGGTTCAAACATTTTTATATTGGTGCATTCAATTACTTGGATGGCCAGTCCATACCCAATTTTGAATCCTTTAGGTTTTCAAGTGACAACTAGTCAAACTTCACATGGGAATAAATATATCACATCTGTAGGTATCTAGTCATTAGTTGCAGTTAGTAAATTGACATCCCTGGCAGAATTACTGCTGGGATCTTTTAATTGCTTTAGAATTTTAAATATTTACTGTAATATTTTTTGTACTTCATGTACATGTAAATCCTTGTTTTTTACAGAACGACAAAAGAAAAAGAAGAAAGTCAAACAAAAGGACAAAAAGTTATTAATAAAAGAACGAACTAAAAGCCATAAGAAAAGGCCAAACCATTTTGTAGCTATTCAAGTATCTAATCCTGAAGTGAGTAAATTGTAATTATATAGCTTTTAAAAATTTTGAATACTTATATAAAAATTAATAATGAAAATTTTAAATTCATAAAGATATTTACAGGTAACCCTCGTATAATACGGGAGTTATGTTCCAAAAAATTGCCATGTTATGCAAATCTGTTTTATACAAAACAAAGAACTGGTGCAGAAAGGGGGATTAGGTTCCAAAAATTAAAAAAACATGCTGTTAAATCCTTATTTAAATCGGATTTATTATTCATTTTTTCATAGGTAAAACACTTATTTATTATTTAAGTAAATATTTTACCAGAGGATTATTCATCCTATATGATGATCTCAGCATGAGCATCATCAACTGGTAACAGTTTTTGGGTGCGTTTATTAATAGCGGTCGCTCTGCAATGGGAGTGTGCTGCTGTTTGTAGGCATTTAGGAATGACAATGAAAGAAAGATGGCAGCGTCAGCACTATCGATAGTATCGTGATGGAGGAATCTATAATTTTAAAATGAGCTTTTAGAGGCAAAAGAAGGTTTCCCAATTGTAAAATTTAACCATTAAATGGATTATTTGTTGAAAGATCATTCAAAGTAGCCTCGAAAACAATTAGAATGCTCGCGCGGAGTTACACGGAGGTATAAAAGAACGCACCCTTTATTACATTTCTCCCTTCATTACATTTCAGTGCTATAGAAGTGCCGTGTTATATGGGGTTACCTGAATTAGAAAATTTATGAATATTCTAACAAATTCTGCTGAACGATTAAGCGAAAGAACTCAAGAGTAGTAGTGTGAGGAGGTCATACTTGGTGATAACATCAGATGGCCAATCTTGTTACTGTCCTGCGTGTTGTGAAAAAACTTTTAAATCTTGAACATTTATTTACTACAAACTTGAGGAATAACATTTGAAATACTAATTTCAATTAAAATGGCTGATGGTATTTAAAAAAAAATTAAAAATCCAGAGAAACTGAGTAATCTTTCTTTCTGTCATGTACAATCACTGGAATTATAATAGTCTTTCTTTGTGGAGATGACCTTTTATTGGAGGCTACTCCTCTGCAAAATTATGTAAAACAGTTAAAACATTTACTTGAATTTAAGGACGTCCTTAAGTTCAAATTTTTGTTTTTTTAAATTTATGCTTATGTTCTTTTAAAACATTTACTGATGATAAGCCAAGTTTTGAATTTTTAATTTTTTTGAAATACTATAAAGAAATGAGCATAATTATGAACAATACTTCCTTATTTAAGGCTTAAATTTAATTTCTTTGTTAGCTGTGTAAACAATCATTCAGAATAATCCAGTCTTTTGAGATACTTTTTTGATACATTTCTAATCCCATCTGAATGTCTTGACGTCTTTCTTCAGATAACTTTTTCTGTATTAAAACTGTTTTTTTGTTATACACAGTCCTATGGACAATCATTTTTTAAAAAGTTTCTAAATGTAAGCCCTTCTAGGCATAGATGATTGAGAATATTTCCACATAAATCATAGTTTTAATTTTTGGCAAGATTTCTTCTTGTAATTTTTCACTATGAAGATTATCTGTTGTATATTTTGAGACATTTCTAATTATCACAATACATAATTTAATAATAGAGCACTGATGGGGGGTCACTCCGATCGTCATAGCTGTTGGCGTGAATTTTTTCCTACTTCCATACTTGGTCTAATTTTTCAAGTAATGAAGAATTTTGAATTATTTTCCACTAAAAAGAATAATATTAAGCTTCTTATTATATTGCTATTGATTGCTGGAATAGAACCAAATCCTGGTCCCCTACAGAAAACTCCAACAAAGAGAGAAAGACCACCACTTACTCGTCAAAAATTGCTGACTGATAGTATTAAACCATTGGAACCAGATTCAAACCTTATCACTGATTATACTGAACCTAGAAGAGCCGAATCATTATTTCAAACAGGTGAGCTAATTAATTTAACTTCCTCACAAGAGCAATTACCTGCGGAACAAATAGACATTTCAACAGCAGAATTATGGAAGAAGATGGTCGAACTGATAACTAATAGTAATGATAAGCTGGTGAGTCAATTTTCACTTATAAGACAAGAAATTAATATAATTCAAAATGAAATTAAAGAATTTAAAGATCAAATTCAACAAATAAGGATAAGAAACGATAAAATAGAAAATGAATTTACCAAACTAAGACTAGAAAATGAATTAACTCAATATAAACTGGATACTATGACTAACACTATGAATAATAATAAAATTATAATTTATGATTATACAAATCAGCTTAAAAATATTACTAAAAATGAATTAGCAACATTTTTTTCTAATACTTTAAGAATAATTTGCAGCGAATCAGAAGATATAGTAAATATATATTCAATACCTAATTCACATATTTAAATTAAGTGCATAATATTAAAATCAAACCAACTAAGAAATAGAATCCTTGCAGCATTTAATAAATCGAAATATAATAAGACACTGGGAAATTGGCAAGAAATTAATATGTCAACTGATTTAAATAAAGATTCGCGCAAAAGAAGAAAAAAAACTTTTACAATATTATATAGATTTTAAGAAACAAGGATTACAACTAAAACTGCGTGATGACTATCTGATAATCAATCGTCAAAAAATTACATATAGTTATATCCAAGATCAATTGGTGTACGCTGATGATTTTTTGAAGTATTCTTACAGAAAAACCCAATAACATAATTAATTAAGAGTTAGAATGTGAAAAGGATCAACATATTAAAATTTTAAATAATCTTGACAGTTCCAGTTTGTGATATATGGATTAAGTCTTAATCCACAAAATAAAAATTTAAAATTACTTTCAACTACTATATAACACTGATATCTTGGGTATAACTGAATCCTGGCTAGTCACACCAGTTAATGAAATTTTAAAAAATAGAATGGAATATACAATTATATCTCCTGACACACAGAAACCAATAGGACCTGGGAGACCACATGGAGGACTTTGTCTAATAGTAAGAATAAACATTGGTTCCATAAAATTTATACAAAAAGCAATTAATTATATTCTAATCTTATTACAAATTGATAATACTGTAATGAAACATTTATACAAAAAGTTAATTATTATGGTGTTAGTTTACGTTCAGCCTGACCAGATAGATTTAATAAATGAAATATTCAGAAATCTCAAAAAATGGAAAAATATCTCTCCATATGTATTATTATTAGGTGATTTTAACTCCAGAGACCATTCTTTGAACCGTTTACTAAGAGATTGTGAAGGACTAAAGAAATATCATCAAAAAATATGAAATTAAAAAACTAATATGTAAGAGGCAAAATCAAGACTTTGGAACTAAATTTAAACAGCCTTATGTTAAATCAAATGTATTAATGGTTTTTTTAAATTAAATCGTTAAAGAACTAAAAAATATGTAATAAATTAATAAAACTAAAATCGATTTTTATTGACTATGTTACTTAAAGTAAAATATTGAAAAGATATTTATCTTTTTTATGACAGAATTTACTATTAAACAGTTATTGTAATAATATTGATGATTTTGAAGATGATGTATATTAAACGATTAATTAACAAATTGTATTGAACGATTGATTAACAAATGTATATTAATATATCATTGGAAAAATACCCCCTGTAACAAGGCTTAGCCTTAATACAAATAAAAAAAAACTATTTGATTGATTGATTGATAATAGAGCACTGATGCTATACTTTTGTATCAGTGATATATGATGAATCGGGTGAGAACCACCAACTTGTAGTGTTGTAAAACGCCTCATAATACTTCTCACTAGTTTTTATTTTGTTTGCTCACTTGGTGTACAGTTGTGTCAAATTGAGGAATGTTGCTCAATTCACGAAATAGGCAAAAATTTGCATAATTTGTGAAATAGACAGTTGATATGCCAATTTCAGGAATTTGGTAATCATATCAGTTGTTATTACTTATTACTGTAGCACTATAGAAAATTTATGTATTTTGGAGAGCTTTCGTATTTTGTTTCATTTTCGTTTACTATTGTTTTGAATTTTTAATTTTGAGGTTTACGCTGTGTTATTTGCTGAAGTTATTATATATGCTTTTATTATTATATATGCTAACAACTACGGCATGTTCTATTTTGATTTATATGACAATATATAATAGTTTTATTATAACTTTCAATGTAAGTTTGACTTTTCTGCTTTTTTATCAGAATGTTTTGTTCCTAGTTACTTTTTATGATATTAATCTGACAAGAAATGGGATCTTCATCTTTGTTTTTAGAAGAGTTCTTGGCAATGTATTAATTACAAGTTTGAAAATTGCTTCTTGTGACACCAAAAACTTTAAGAAAAATGTTAATACTGTCTATCAGCATTATTATTTTTTACTTGAAACAATACTACAAGTACTTTCAACAAACTACAGATTGTCTTCTTCTTTATAGCAATAATAAGATAATTTAAAAATACACTATTGTATATTATACATTTTACATAATTTATTTTCTGTTTGTTAAATAACTAAATACAGTATATAGCTACCATAGTTTATTGCAGCAGTTCTCAACCTTTTATGTCTTATGGCCCCCCTCAGATGTTTATTCAGCTCTGTGGTCCCCTCATTCCGAAAGTTACATTTTTACTGAACAGTAAGTATTGTGAACTTGGAAATGTTTACTAGAAGATAATAAAATTGAAAATGTTTATTTTCAAGTCAATAAATACAGTTTTCTTTCTTGAGAAAAATTCTTTCATTTAAAATAAAATCACATTTTTGCAGAACTTAAAGCAAAAAGCTAAAAAAAAACAAAAATTAATAATTCAAAACTACCATGTATGTGAAATTTTTTCCTAAGTTTTAAAAACTGTATTGTGTATTATTAAAATAAATTTAATTTTAAAATAGTTTAAGTTCAAAATATAAGTCTTAGTGTTGAATTAAGACTTTTAATGTGACATTGCAGCTAATGAGAAGAAAGAAGTTTTTGTGTATTTGCCTGAAAGTTCATAAAACATAACTGAAGATCTTTCCTGTACTCAATATCCAATCTGTTTTTAATTTTTGATGTTGTCCAATGGATGAATGACCACTAAAACCCAATTCAACCAAATAGGATATTGGAAAGGTTATAAAGTAATTTTTTTGCGAGAATTTATTTTGAATTTCTGTACAACCCAAAAATTATCTTGGTTGTTCCTGAATCTTGCTTGAAGTTCTGAATAATTTTGCAGATCCACATTAGCCACATTTACTCCAGTGGATTCATTGGCCATTCTGAGACTTTCATTTCTAATGGTTTACTTTAGTTTCATTTCATCTTACAAATTTTCTTGCCCCAACTGTGCTTTCCTTGTTGTTGGATTTTCAATTAGGACCTCTGTCATGTTACACTTATAGTTAATTTGTGTAAAATACAAAATAAAATTTAATATTCTACTTTGTGAATTAGTATGATTCTTAATAGTTCTGATGCTCTTTTGGTAGTTCTGTGGCTCCCCAATCTTTCACAAGTTTTCTATGGTTCTGTGGTCTACTGTACCATGGAACCTGTTGAGAACCACTGGTTTAAGGTACTTATTGTATTCATTTTACATTGTTTCCCTAAGTTTTTAGAAATTTTGGAATAGTAGACATGGCTATTATTCAAGGGTGGTTATCATTTCAAGCTTTAAGGGAAAGATGTAGTTATTCGAATAAAACGGGCATACACATATACTTCATTTTTTAGAAAAATTTTCTGAAATATCTTAATTTATTATTATATTATTAATAATAGTTTAATTTAATTTAATGAGCACAAATTGAGAAAATAAATTTCAAACTTGCATTGTGAAAATGATGATGGTCATTTGTGTTAATTATTGTAAGAAGGGCAAATTTGTGTCTGCGTTGATGCACCATTGTTGTTATAATGTTTTGTTAATGGAATCCAGCATATTATTTTTTTTGAATTTTGACATTGCTTATTGATAAAAATTTCTGATTTTTTTGACTATTTTTAAAGAAGATTGTTTTTATAATCTTTAAGTTTCAGTTTTGTTTTATTTTTAAAAAATAAAAATATAAGAAATAGGTATTAAAATATATAAATTAATAAACAGATATAAATTTTTATTAATGATGAATGTTTTATATAAATTTCAGTATAATACAAATATAATTTTTATATTTAATCAGATAAAAGGAGCTATCAAGAACATACAAAATCATATTATACAAAAGGAAAATATATTGAAATCGACATTAATAAATGTGAAAACCCTTCATATTACATTATTGGTATTTCATATATCCAATAATGAAGAACTTGAAAGGTATTATTATTATTTATTATTATATAGAAATTTTATACTTTAGAAAATAATTTTTATTTAAATTAATTTAATTGGACATGAAAGTTGTATTAGTCAGAAGCAAATGAAAGACACTTGCTTTCTGTTTTTGATAGTTTGAAATAAAATTTTGTTAGAATTTTTCAAGTGACCCAATAAAATTAATACCATGCCATGTATATACATACTGTATATAAATGCAATAAATGGAGTAACAAAAACTTTGTGCTGGTATTTTAGGGATAGATTCTAGTGTCAAAAATAAGCTTAAAATTCCTTATAAACATTTTTAAAAATATTGCTTCATTTTTAAAAGCAAGGTTCAAATTCCTTGGTTCAAATACTTTTGCAGTCAATGGGTTGAGGTAAGTAAATGTTGCCCAAATAAGTCCTACTGTAATATCAATAAATGCAAACAAAGCATTATCAACTAAGATTTTGCAGTATCTGTCTTCTTTCCAATAAAAAAAATAGAGTACTGTACATTTATATTGAAAAACTTATCCTAACATTTATTTATAAGGAAACAGTGATATCTTTTCAGTGGAAGGTTTAAAAAATTGATACAATATGAGATTACTGGTTTACAGTATGAGATTTTGGAATGCCTGATCTTGAAAATGAAGTGGAATTTGAAAATGTTTGTAGAGTATTTTCAGCTTATTTTTGACATATTGGCATGGTGTTTCATTACACCCTGTATAATATTTAATACATTAAAATAAATATTGAAAAATTGAGAAAAATTCCATAAAACATTTTTGTTTATATTAAATTTAGTTTTATTATGACATTCGTAAATAATTTAATTGTGATAAATAAATAAATTTGAGAAATACTAAGGAATGAAAACGTGAATATAATTATTAAAACTTTTTTGTCTTGGCTTCTATACTATACCATGTGCATTTTTTGTTGCATTTGTTTTGACCAATGAGTAAGAAATAGAGGGGAGTAGGCAGCATGCAGGAGGAAATTGATATGATTTGTCAACTGTTCAATATCAGCAAGTTGAGTTTATCCTATGTTGGAATGGAGCATGCATTGTTGCAGTCAAGAGCAGTCAAGCCACTATGCACTTTGTTTTGTCTTATTCTGCCTCTCCTTATCATGTGTTAATTTTACACAGTAAAAATTCACATATCACAGAAACATGCTTTATTTATTAAATAATTTTATAATCCTTACAATTTAAAATGGCATCAACTGTTACAGAAGTTAAAAGAAAGTGTGTGAACTTAAATGTGGCACAGAAATTAAATGTAATTAACAATTAGTACCAGTTTGTATTTTTACACTGTACATTTCACACTGCTTTTGATATCCATAAATAATAGCCAAATTTTTCCAGTTTTCTTTAAAATACAAATATTGGTTGCTCCAAATGTGGTTTTACTGAGACATTATTTTGCACATCACCAATTTTTTGTTTATGATAATTTAATAAAATTATATTCTATATTGTATTAAAGCTACGTTTGCATTACAATTATTTGTATTTGAATTTGAAGAGTAAAAAATGATAAAAATTCCTTGGTAATATCCAATTTTAGGGACTTTCAACATTAATGAACATCTGTTTGCTCTTATTTGTCTGTTAGCTTTAGGGTTTACTGCATAATCAAATCTCACTTTATTGCTACCATTTGTTTACTTCTGAAACTAGTAGTAAACTGAATTATCATAAACAATAAGAATTATACAGGCGCTTCCTTACTTACAAACAAATTAGATTCCTGAGGTTTTTGTCATAAGTTGAAATGTTTGTTCAATGTACTTAATAGAATACATTACATTCATTTACCTGCTCACTGCTGATTAGTAGCAGTTGTTTCAAATGCACTTAGTTTTATGATGTCAAGTTTAGTTTCCTGTATCTCTATTCCATGGTAATAGAGATACACTTCTAGCATTTATCTTCAATGTTAGATTTACTATTACATTTTGGATGCATTTTTGAAGTGCTAATTGTAAAAGTTTATAAAAATTGCAAACAATAGCAATAAACATTGTTGCTCCAATGTTACCAACTTCAACACTAGCAGTAATGGAACTTCAGAATTTGTGCAAAAATGACAATATGCAATAGAAATAAATCCACATAAATAATAAATAATTAATTACTGGACAAAGACTGACTTCAATGCCACCTCACAAGTGTCAAGAGAACTTCAGAATTTTCATGAAATATAAATTTTAGACATATGGCCAAATTGTTTGAAAGTCATAAATGTTCAACTTACAAACTTTCAAAGTAGGGGAACTCCTATACTGTATAGTAATGACTTGTGATCTATTCACAATTTTCAGTTTAAAGGCACCAAATTGATAATGTGATTGATAATAACAGTGTCATTTGCAATGAAAAAATCATAATTATCTTAACCAACATATATTGAAGAGTTCTATATTTAATAGTTATGGAAAAAAATTCATATGTATTCATTGGTACATTACAAAGTTAATGCTATTTAGAACAGTGCTGTATTTAAGTTTATCTGTATTTTGAACATAAATAATGTGTTGGTTATTTGGTAATATAATGTTTTTTTAAATTTGCAAATTCTATAACTTAATAAAAAACAAAATTTGAAAATAAACAATTAATATTTTGACATTGTAATGTATTTTGTTTGTATTTAAACAATTTAAACAATATTTGTAAATTATTCATGTCTAATACTTAAACTGAAATCATTTATTCTAAATATAATATACTGTAAGATTATTTTAAAATATTTGATTAAACACAATTTTGCAAAAATGTTGGTAAATCTTTTGTAATCTGTAAATATAAATCTTAAAATTGTAAATCATAAATGTTTTAAAATATGAATATATAGGATACATAAAAAATGTCACTTTATATTTTTAGGGCTTGCTCTGCTCTCTCCAATGCATTTGAGGTATTGAAAGATGATCTATCAATAAATCCTCTTGAATTAACTTTTGAAGGCATAGATCATTTTAACAATAAGGTGAGAATATTAATTAAAATTGTTAATAATAATAACAATAATACGAATTAAAAGCTATTATTATTTATTTATTTATGACACTGTGACCATAAACCTTTTTCAAGCATCTAAACAAAATACAAATACAGTAAGACCCCACTTAATGCTGATTCAATATAACATGGTCTGCTTGAAGCTTAAAAAAAGCTCAAAATTTACGCCGATTTAAATTATCACAGCATTTCATTGATTCATATATAATACACCCATACCTCGCTTTACGGCATAGATACGTTCCACGAAACTTGGCCGCAAAGCGAAAAGCCGTATAAGGAATCAATTATTCTAATACAAATTCATACAAATTCAATGGGATCGGTTCCAAATTTATTAAATATGTAATATGGTTTATCATTCAAAATGCATTTTATCTTTTTATTTCATTTAAATCAAAAATACGTACATAAGAAGTACATACATTTGTACATAAAATAATAACAGACTCCAAAAACCAACAATAATCTATAAACAAACATGAAATAACTTCATGTTACATAAAATATGTGTATGTTTACATACATAATTTTTTTAAAAAATGGCTTTAATCTGAAGACGATGAAGAAATGGTAACCTGCAGATCACTGTCATCATCATTTTTCGCTGGTAAGGATGGGCCTGGCTTAAAAAAATTGTCCACCGTTGTTTGTCTTGCCTTCTTGTCTATTTCATTCTCCAGTAATAAATATGTACATAAAACACTCACAGACAAGTCTAAACCAGCCGCTTTATGAGCACACACTGAATAACGCTCGTAAACAAGAGGAAATAGAAAAGAGTGTGCATCGAGATTGCGCTTGCGCAAGATTGGCAACATGTAGATATATCGACATCGAAAAAAAGTTTTTTTTT